GTTTTTTGGGTTTGGGAGACGCGGGGGACCCCAAAAAGGAGGGGGATTGGGGTTGAAGGGGGTGGAAGCGGGGGGGGGGGGGGGGGCATCTGCCATCACGCGCGCTACGCGTAGGGGTCATCTTTCCCCCCGAATTCGAGCCCTAACTCTCTCTCTCTCTCTCCCCCCCCTATCTCTCTGTCTGTCTGTCTGTCTGTCTGTCTGTCTGTCTGTCTGTCTGTCTGTCTGTCTGTCTATCTGTCTGTCTCTTGCTCACCACAATGACGGGCCAAAGGTTAGAGCTCCCTTCCAGGTTGGACAGCCCCGTCTCCTTGTTGAAGAGCACCATCAGGCACCGCACCACCCCCTCTTCCAGCTCCACCTCTTCTGGAGGCACCTGCGCGCGGTTGTGACGTCAGAGTGGATGGAGGCGGGGGGGGGCGGAAGACACTTTCACGACTGTATCCCCTCTACGTCATTCGGGTCCCTGGGAAACCCATCGGCCGCACGCGACTGACCACGCAATTCTTACAAACACAGGGTCCGCTCGCTCATCGCCGGAACCCTGCGAGAGGCGTTCTTGAAACGGCTTGCCTCGTGCCATTGGTCCACAAGCAGCTTCTACGTTGTCTACCAGGGTGTTTGTGAGCAAAGACGCGTGCATTCCTCCGCGAGTGTGTGCGCCAAGACAAAAACACTGAACGATTAGCTAATGATGTAGTCTACCAGGTACCACGGTGTACCTGCTCAACCTGGTCTGGGCCAGACCTTCTGTTCGAGCGTGCGCTCAAGGCTTAAAAATAAAAAAAAGTAGTTGGCTCTACTCTTACCACACGGCATGTAACTAGTCAGCGTGGCCAGGACCAGGGAAATACTGGTAGCACTTCGCGTGACGAACTCTCAGCCTAACCCTAAGGACGAGAACGAGGGAGGCCCGTTCGCGCTCCACACCCGGGACAGCCTAGTACCACCAAAAAAAAGGATGTATTGGGAGGGGGGGGGGGGGGTGTCTCGGCGTATGAAACTACTCTGAGTGACAACACGACCCTGTCTGGCAATTCAGCTGCCGTGAAGATGCAGCCCCGTTTGGACTACCACCCCCATCCTTCAACATGCCCGGAGAGAGCAACCCGTTCCCTACAAACTTTGTGTCGGTACCGTTGTGACCGTTGTTGTAACTGCTCATGTTTGTGGTCGCCGCCGTGAACCATGATATTGTACCAGTTCCTTCCAGGAGGTTCCCTGTCCAGCTTCCGCGGCGTCTCTTTTAACCCCCTCCCCTGTTGCGGGTTGATGCTGTCCCCTTCCTCTAAGTGCATCTCCCTGCTCTCAGCGAGCGCTTCCATCACCTGCAGGCGGACCATCATTAGGGGGGGGGGGGGGGGGGGGGGGGGGGCCCCTTTTTTTTTGCTGTTTTTACGGGTAAAACCA